ACCTTTTTTTAGAAATTACTTGAAAACAGTTTTAGAATAATATTAATTATTAGAAATGACTTACCATTCACTGTAGTATCACCACGAGGTCCCAACACAAAATGACTTAACATGGTTCTTGTGCCAGCTTTTATGGGGGCAAAAAGGCGCCAAAACAATATAAATCGTTACACGTCATACCCGTTTATGTCGTTACCTACATATTCAAATTCAAATCTTATATTTTTATCATAGATTGTTATCTATGATGAAATCATTTATCTTTGGTTGTTATCTTATCAATAAATAGATTTGGGTATTAGGCAATTGATAGCGCTAGTGTTGGCAAAATCACAGATAACCTGTCATTGTTTATTTACATTTGGATTTTTGAAGAAAATAAACAAATAATTTCAGTCTTAAAATATTTTGAATATCTTTTGGAAAGATTATAGTGATTATATGGATACATATACCTAATTTTAATTAAGTCATAATTTAGTACATTAATATAAAGTGAACCTCTGGGTTTTCCTTTTGAAATTCTATGTTATTTGTCAAATTAATTACTCAATGTCTTTCTATGTAGACAGATTGTGATTTATAAGAAAAAAAAATGACTACATGAAAAATTTGTGTACTTGGTATGAAATTATATATACTAAATATTAAATTAAATTTTAAAATCAAAATATATTTTCAATTTATTCAAGTGTTCTGTTATACATGTATTTATACCTATATATACAGTGCTGGATTTACAGTAGGGGCAGTCGGGGCTACTGCCCAGGGCGGCAAATTTTCGGGGGCGGCAAAATTTGGGTAGTGAGAAGAAAATTCTTTACCATAACTCATTTTTTTAATAACATTTTTAATTTCAAGAAATATAATTAACAAAACATTATACAAATGCAATGCAAAATTTGGCAATTTGGCTAATATAAAGATTCGTAAGTGAGTTGAAAGTTTAAGAAAAATATGTTCTTCAGATCTCGAGCCCTTTTAAGATGTCAAATTTGTGCACTTCCAAGCTCATAGCGCCGAAAAAAATTAAATTAGTGGCGCATGGCATTGTGCCTTACGGCAAGTTACTGAAACTTTCCGTACTGAAAATTACATTTTATAAAAATCTTAAAATTTTTTGAAAAATGATAAAAATTGAATTTTAAAATTTTTTTTTTATATTTCGAAATTTGTTTAAAATTATTAAGTTTCATTTATTAAACTTATTAAAATTAAATTTTATTTGAATAATTCGATTTTTATTGATAACGAGACGTGCTGATTAGTTATTTGCCAAGACGGGTCCAACTGTCTCGGAAATACGGGCCAAAATACCAAAAATAAGAATTCATTTTTTGAGAAACGAAACGTCCAATATCATTAAAAGAAATTTACATATATAGACAAAATGAAGAACTGATTAAATTTGTGGGAGGCAGGTCCAGCGGTTTCGGTGATCCAATAAAAAAAATTGAAAGAGAAACATTTGGCGGTCAAAAATGATCATTAGCCATATGCACATCAAATTATCAGATATTTTAATAATATAAATTTTGTTTCCATTTCTATGGGTTCTGTAAAATTATTTATCTGTTATTCTGCGAGGCCGCGCTTACGCGCTTCTTTATTTTGTCTCTATGCAGCTAAAGCAGGCGGATCGTTTTAACTCTTTTTTTTTTAATTTTAATTTTTGGTACGGGAAGTTTCAGCAATTTATCTTAAGGCACGATGCCAAGCACCACTATTTACACTATGTAATGCGTAATAAATTTTCTGCAATCAAATAGTTATTTTAATTTTAGAAAAATGATATATATATAAACTATTTTAAGTAAAAATTTAGGGATAGCGCGGCATTTTTGTCAGTTCCCAAGGGCGCCAAATTTCTAATTCCGGCCCTGTATATATATATATATATATATAGTATTTAATATATAATGTATAATATAATAAATATATATAAACGGAATAAATTCAATATTAAATATTTATTCTATTCAACATTTGTACATAATCTCATTGATGAGATTAATCTAATGCATAATCATATGACAAAGGTATAATTTATGTTCATTCACAATTTAAATTGGAATAATATAAATTGATTAACTTCTATTTTCAATAAAAAAAAAGTATTGGAACTATATAAAACTAAATAAAAACACACAAATTAACATGAATAATTTAATAAGTTGTGGAAACTATGTATTGACTATTCAGAGTCTAATTGTAAGATAGAAATGTCACGTTTTTTCTTAAAGCAGTTCTTCGCATATGTTAAAATTTCACAAGAAATTCAAAAAGAGATGGAATCTTGTCATTTTTTAACAAAATTTTGGAACGCTACTTAGAAACCACTACAAATTTTATGGATGTAACGCCCGACTTTTAAAATCAAATAAAATGTATTATATCAACATCAAATTGAAGACTATTCAATATTATATATGTGCTTCAACTTAAAATACATAAGTATAACACAATTCAAAATTGATAATTTTCAAACAAAATAGCTTAATACTCATTAATTAATTTACACATTTTTCTACTACCACATAATTTTACTCCAGTTGCTAAATATACCCTTCAACCAAAGTACATACTTTGATTATTAATACATTTTCAAAAAAGGTTCAAATTTGGCTGTAAAAAGTAAACTTGAGTTATTGAGTTGAAGTATCGCATACAAAGGTCATACAAGAAATAGGTCTAGAACTATTATAAATCGTTTTAATCAGAATTCTACCAAAATATGAAAACTAAAATTTTCTACAAAGCATAAATCAAATTACTGTTGATAAATTTGAATCATAGTAAAGTTCTAATATTTATTAATAATTTTAAGTAATTATAGCTCAAACACAAATATATACAATAATTACTATATTAATATTTATTTAAAAAAATATAATTTAAAATAATTTCTAAAATATAAATTTCGTTTATCCTATAATCTTATCTCGTCAGGTTAGAATTTTGTAATTTCAAAACATTTAGCAAATAATCTAATTTAATGTTAAATAATAAAACACTTATAAAATAGAACTAAAGCGACAATATAATAATTTTATGAAAATTAAAATAAATTTAAAACAAATGTACTTAGATTATCATTACTAATAAAATTTCTTAATTCCATAAGACTAAAACTGAATACAATCAACAGTGGTGAACGAGTATGTTTTAAGAAAGAAGTCATATTGCCAATCGCTATATATATATATACATTTGCACATAAAATTATCAGATATTTTATAGAGATTTTAACAATAAGTATAAATATTGTTTACATTCCTATGGGTTCCGTACCAATGGTTAACCGTTAGACCGCGACGCAGCGCTTACGCGCTTTGATATTTCGTCTCTGTGCAGTTAAAACAGTACGATTGCTTTGAAAAAAAGTTCAGAATTTTCAAAATGTTTCAAAATAAATTTTCAATTTTTTCAATTCTCATAGTACTACTAATTATCACAGATCTAAGCCCATCAACTCCACAGTTGATATATGTAGTAGGAAAGCAAAATCTTATAAAAAGGAATAGTTTACCTAAATAATTGCCTAAATACCTATTATAAGTTATAAAAACGACTAACATTGTCTAAAATATGGAACTGATTGACATAATCTAAGATAAAACTAATTGGTATTGGTATTTTGCTTTAAGTTACATGAACTTCCCGATATGTGTAAATAATCGACTTAATTAATAAAGAATAAATTAATTTATAAGTGATCAAAAGTATTCCGAGTGGATTTAATACACATAATTGAAATCAAAGCGAACACGTTAACTCGGAGTATTTTCTAAAAGCAAATTTTCAAAAATCAATAATTTTTATAATTGAACCAGTTTCTATAGTACTTTAATGGTTTAGTATGTTCATTAAGGCCAAGTACTCTATCGTTATACCAAGTAAATCGTCAAATTTTATTTTTAACAAACGTCAAAAAAACTACTAATGTTCTCAAACTTTGATGAATTTTTAAAATTAAATTACTTGTCGTAAGGCCGCAATATTTCAGTAAGTTTTATAAGACCATGATATATATCGCCAAAAAAAGTTCCATAAAAATCGGCTTAAATTTTTTTTTCAACAGTTAATTACAAGAAAACGGCTCGGTAGATTTTTACCTAAAACTAATCAGTATCATTCCCAACTAATATCTTTCGAACAATTTATGATTTTTTAAAATCGATTCGTCAGTTTGAGTTTAAATGTGGACGAAAAGTTTAACTCTTTTTTCGAAATTACGAATAAACGGCTTAGCAGATCGTCGCACAAAACTGTAAAACGATAGTCCTCATCGATATACATCAATTGAACTAAATCCTAGAAGAAATCTGTTAACTCCTGAAAAAAATCTGTTAACTCTTGAAAATCTGTTAAGTCCTGAAAGAAATCTGTTAAATGTATTAAAATATAAAACAACCGTATTCAATCCTGAAATAAATGTATTCAATTCTTCAACGAAGCTTCAAGTATTGAAACACTTAGTTCCTGGCAAATCTGGTCAATTCTAATGATAATAATAATAACCAATATAAATTAATTTCAACAGAATAATGAATGATAAATAACTACTAGTTCCTGTCTAATTAAACAAAATGCAACATTAATAATAATAATTATTTTGCCATTAGCCAAAACAGCAATAGATAACTTTATTTTTTCCACAGCTGTTGATCAAGGGTCCTTCAAAATGCATCGATTTTTCAGATGCTCTTAACCTGGTTACTGCCTTTCCATTTTTCTCTAGAAAATGCTCTTTTACCTCGAAATACCTCTTGTAAATTTGCTGCACTGGTTTATCTGACTCCCGTATAAATTTTCAAAACAATCCAAAATGGATATATTCTCCTGGGTGGGTTCATAACTTTCGATACTGCTGTTCTTCTTGTCTTTAAAATTGTCCGGGAACCTGCTGGTAAATCTTTAAAACAATCATGCTTTTTTAAACCCTTAAGCAGTGCCGATACAGCATTATGAGAAACCTGATATGTAACAGCCCATTCTGCCTAAAATTGCTTTACATCGAAGACTTCTGGTATAACTTCTTCGTTGTGGCTCTCCTCAGAATCTGAAACTGAAATGTTTATTTGGTTTTAAAATATCATTAATATTAAATAATTATATATAAATAAATTCATTATTACCTTGAATTTGATGTTCATGAGAAGATGGCGCTCCAAAATCATTCTAAATACATACTAAAACTAAAATATTTATATATTTTTATATTATCATTACTATTAAATAATTATATAAAATTAAGTTTATAATTACCTTGATCATGATGATCATTAGATTGCATTACAAAATCATCCTGAGTACTAGAACTTGTTGAAATTTCAGCATGATCGACCACACAGTCATTTACACTGGAATCTAGAGTTAACTCTTTCTTTTTTTCATCCTTTCGAATTTCCTATTCACCACCTTTCTAAAATGTCGTTCTGTCAAAAAGCCAATGAATTTGCGAAACTTTCTAGTCGACATATTTATATGGAATTTCTTTGAGAAAAATAAATCAACAAAATCACGTTATTAGTCATAAGTCTGGACCAAAAATTGACCTAGTTGGTTAAACATTGATCAACCGCAGGGCAGATATGGTGCCACTTCTGGTCGATGTTAACCTAGCTGGTTGAATATTGGTCGACGCGATGCGACTGAAGATCGACCCGTGCTGTGTGGGATGGAATATAGTCATTGATTTTTTGATTTTAGAAATAAATCGATAGGAAAATGTTTAAGTCTAAAATGTCTAAAAATATTGTAAATTATCTGTAAATATTGTAAGTTGTCTAAAATGTTGTAAACTTCTAACAATTTTGTAAATTGACTATTAAATTATTGTAAATTGTCTGATAATACATGCAAATACATAGACATGTTATTGTATAAAGTATACTTTTGATGAAATCAATCAGTGCTTCACAAAATGCTCATAAATGTCAAATGTTAAATAGATAGTTCTGGGCTGGATAGCATGTAGTGCAGTAAACGGAGCGTTTTGGTCTGAATTTTTTTACTGTGCTCCGAATTGAATGAAATTTTGGAATTAGGTTCATCTTACCCTCAAGTTCAAAGTGAAAACAATTCGGGTTGCGCCATCACCCCCCGGGGGGATAACACCCCTTCTCAATTGTGTAATTACATTTTTTAAAAATAACGTCGGAAATCGATAGAAGAACTAATTATAAGAAAAAATGTCTTTTATAGTTTTTGAAAAAAAAAACTAATACTTTTCAAGTTACTATCCACTAAAGATTCATATATTTTTGACGTTTTCTTCGTTTTTTTTGCAAATATCTCCTAAAATATACATTTTAACGAAAATCATGTAATTAACAAAATGATGTCAATAAAAATCTTAATAAATCGGTATTACATAAAGTGTTCTAGGAAAAATATTAAGCAAGGTTTGAAGGAGCAAAGTCGTTTTTTATTTCGTTCAAGATTTAATTGTTGTATTTAAAGCCATCTAGTGTCGAGGTTTTACATTTTATGCATTTCGGTGAAATTGGTTTTCATAGTGCTCAACATAAGCTTTAAAATGAGTGCTGTTACAAGTTTTTTGCGTGTAAAATGAGTGAGCTATCATGCAAATAAGAAGCATATACTAAGTTTTTTTCTTTTCAATGATATAGTTTAATGAGCGCCATTTCCACCAGAATTAAAGTAATTCACATACCATCTAGAATCCACTTCATTAAAGATGAACCTCATTCCAAAATTTCATTCAAATCGGAGCACAGTAAAAAAATTCAGAGGTTATACCCTTTTTTTCTTTCCGTTTACTGCACTAATGCTTAATTTCATCGTGCTAAATATCAAAACCTCGCTTGCTGGAAACAAATGGAGATCGATTACCCATCATTTTGCCTACTTGATAACCAGCATGCCAGCCAGCCGACCAAAAAAGCAACGAAACAAGCGTCGTGTGAACAGGCCTTTAAACACTTTTATATAATTTCAATAAAGTATTTAACTAAGTATGATATATGCAAAATTTGATGAAGCATGTTGATAATCCTATGGGAGATTGCATAACTCGCCACTATTCATTTTAACTATAATTAATTAATAGCATATAACACTAAAGAAAGAATACTTCAGGTTAACTTCTAATAATAATTTCATAAAATTCAATAAAGCCTATTTCCAAATGGTTGTGTTTTTTTTCTTCCACCACATTTTTATTTTATTAAATTGTAAATTTCACCTTCTTGTGTATAATAATTGTAACAAATTGTTCTTGCTAATTTCGTATTTTTGTTTAATTATAAACATTTCATAGACTTTTTTAAATTAACAATCAAAAATATGAAACCGCGAAAAAAGTGCTTTCCAAATTGTTGTTCCATCGTCTAAACTTCATCACCATTTCTTCATACAAGGCATCATTTGTCAAAGAACGCGAACATTTTGATGACTTTTCCAATTAGTGTTTCGAGTGCTACATGTAAATATGTAACTATGTTAAAACATTATACAAATCATATCACATCATACTTCAATGATTTTATTTTGGATCATCAAATGTAAGCATGAAGCTTGGACAGTTTATATTATTGGCGTACGTATAAATACGTGCCGATCATGAATTTTCAATGACAAATACAAAACTTAGTCATAATTATGTCTGGTAATTCAATTGTTTTCTTGTTATGCTGTTGGATGGCTGTTGGATGGATGTTAGCATAAAATAGTTGTCATTTAGTTATATTGACATTTTTCGAAATTTCTGAGTAACCCCTTTCTTGGCATAACCATTTGATTAATCGTATAACCATTGTTTAAGTTTCGCAGTGATTGAAAATGTTGATTATTTTACACAAAAGTCAAATACAGCTAATAATTGTTAATTAAAATACTTGCCCGTATTAAACCTGAAGGTCCTGGATTATCATTTAATCGTCGAACTAAATTTTGTTCTTGTTCGTGATTTAACTTTCTATGAGTTTTTGAAATAGAATTGGAAGATTCGCACTCTTCTCCGATGCAACTGTGCGCTTTGTAAACCCTTCCAGTGAAAAACGGTGCCTATAATATTATAGCGGATAGAAAAGCAAAAGTAAAAATTTGACATTTGTTCTTTTATTACTATAATATTGTTTACACATTCAAACCGTTTAAGACTCAAAGGTAATTGACAAACATCTTCGGCAAGTTTAGTTATAGTAGTTTATTTCTATAGAGTATCATAAATGAAACAAATGTGTATACTGTAAAATTAAATTTAAGAAACATCCGTGTTGAGTTGACATATGTATAGGTGATATATGATATATGAGATGAAAGTAATTATTTGATACTATATAAGTTTCGCACACTTATCGTTTTTTAAGGAGTTACACCACTGTAGCAGCCTAAAAAACGTATGTAAAATCATGATATTAAAGATAGCTATTAATTGTACTTTAAAGTAACAAAATAAAATATTATTGTAAAAAAAAAATTAAAAACGACGGTACCGCGGCCATTTCGGCGAGCCGCGTCAAATTGGAGGCGCTCCGCGGCATGCAAACTACAAAAATTTTATTTTTTTCCATTCGAATTTTTAATAGTATATTTAATATAACATTTTTAAGTGCCCATCGTAGCGAATTTGAAAAATATTGAAGTTTGTTCCTTTGGCGAGCACTTTATTCAAAATCGTTGAATTTCAACGAAAAAAACGGATAGTAATTTGTTAATAATTGATGAACAAATTAACATATAGAAGATCTCCTACGGTGGGCACTTAAAAATGTGATTTTAAATATACTGTAAAAAAATCGAATAAAAATAGTTCAAATTGTTGTAGTTATTTTGCGTGCCGCGTTGTAAAATCGTGTTTCGAGAAAAACGCGTTTAAAGTTTTGAAATAAATTATAGATAAGAAAAAATAGAAAAAATATCAGTTTAATATTTTTTACTATTAAACTGATATCCCAGCAACAGGCAGATGCATGCTTAAGACGTTATAATCGACTTTAAGACAAAAATTACATGTTTAGATGCGAATATTAATCTCCAAAACTATTTTCATTTATAAAATATTGCTTAAGCCATCGTTGAAATTATTCCCAGCAATATCAACCGCAAAATAGTCAACCCTTATATGTGTTGACTCTGCACTGATCATTTATTGGTTAAAAATGCTTTTGCAGTTAATTTATGCAATATAAATATTTACTAATAACATATATTAGTATATTTAAGAAGATACACGTTGTCATTTTTCTTTATAATATTTTTTGTTAATGAATTTGAGCGGTATCGGTTCAAAGCAGCCCGACGCGCATGGGAAAAAGCTCATAATTACAAGTAAAAAAATAAAGTTTTAGGTATGAAATATTTTTCCTCATATTCTAAAAGGTTGAAAGTATATTTTAACCTAAAAAAATTTTTTTGGTTTTTCGAAAAATCTACAGTGGTGTAACCCATAACCCCTTAATTATTTTGTTGTTCTTTTCAAAGAGCATCAAAAAACGTTTGTTTAAAATTTTGAACAGATTTACAAGTAAGAAAAAATATTAAAAATCAATGCTTGATAATTTGACTGAATTTTATAAATTGAACATTTTAATGTTTTGATGACATATGTTCAAATAGTATTTTGATCGCAGCGTAAATCTATAGAATATTAGCTACAGTTAAAAATTGTACATTCGCACACTAAACCTACCAGAGCGGTCAAATGACCGCTTTTGAAACTTAAGTCGAAATTATTAAATTCCCGATTTTTATACTTCTTTAACTTAAGGTATGACTTTTTCTATAATATAAGACAATTTAATTTTCCGGCATCTATCATGCATTAAGTTTCATATCTCCAAATACACATATGTACTGTATCTATTCCTACCGATGGCGGTCAAATGACCGCTTTTCAGATTTTTATTGCTGATTGATAATTAGAAAAGGTCTATTGTTTATTTATAACAAGAATATAAGATTTTTGAACTCTACATCATTTTATCATTATAGTTACATAGATTGCAATAAACAATATGGAAAAAAGGCTTCTTCAAGAACAACTTCAGAAGGTCGCATTACAATCTCTAAAATAAGAAAGACATGCCAAATTGATTGTTGTAAGCAGAATAAAACTGTAAACATCTGCGATAAATGCACAAAATATGTTTGTGGGACATGTTCTCGAAAAACACCAACCATATGCAAACTAGCTGTAAGTGGAATTATGTCTTAAGGCAATTAGGGCATCGTGCCTTAAGGCAAATTGCTAGAACTTCCCGTACCAATTATTATTATTTTTTTTCCAAACGATTAACATTTTTGAAAAAAATTTACTTCGAAAAAATTAGATTTTTAAGAAACTATAAATTTGACAAAAAATTACTTTTTTTGAAAAAAAAAAATTTCTTTGAAAAAAAAATGTTTCCTTTATTTTGACATATTTTGGAAATTCAGAACTTTTTTTCAAAGCAATCGTACTGCTTGAACTGCATAGAGACGAAATGTCAAAGCGCGCAAGTGCCGCGCCGCCGTCTAAAGGATAAGCATTGGTACGGAACCCATAGAAATGTAAAAAAAAAAATTTTTATTGTTAAAATCTCTATAAAATATCTGATAATTTGATGTGCATATGTCTAATGATCATTTTGAACCGCCGAATGGCATTTTTTTTCAATGTCTCCTTATCAATACGAATCGAATGTTTTTTGAATTATTCAAATCGGTTGATCCGTGTTCCTGAAATCGTCGACGAAAATTTGTATCCGCACATACATACATACACACACACACACTACATCCATTTTCTCTAAGGTATGCCAAAATGTTCAGAGACCTTTGAAACGTAAAGATATATAAAAATTCTCATTTTCGATTTTTTTTGCGATTACTATAACTTGTCCTACAGGAAGTTAATAATGTAACGAATAAGGATGTATAAATGACTGAAGTTAAACTTCTTTTTTTTTCATATTGTTTATTGCAATATATGTAACTATCATAATAAAATGAAATAGTGTTTAAAAATCTTATATTCTTTTTATAAATAAACAATAAACCTTTTTTCAATCAACTAGCAATGAAAATTTTAAAAGCAATCATTTGACCGTCACTGGTAGGAATAGGTATACATAAAATATTGGTAGGTTTAGTATTAAAGTAAGCGAAATAAATGCTTAAAAGTATAATTAAAAGTGTAGCAATCATTTAAATCATAGTAACCCTCAGCATTTTAGTGATTTTTTTTCTTTTTTACAACAAAAAAGTGAAAATTCTTCAAACTGTTTCTGCAATTTCAATTTATCAAACATTAAATTTGTTTTGAACAAATTATCCTTGAGAAAGTGTTGGATAGGGGTTTTCTAACCGTCACCTGATTTGAACATGCATGAATACGGACTTATCGAACGAAAATAGGAATCAAATTATGCATGTTTAAATTTTCTGCAGTATGGTTGAAGTAAATTGATATTTTTCTGCACCATTTGCAGCTAACTTTTAATAAATTAATATACCTGTTCAACTACAGGCACTAACACAATTCTTGTGCCTATCTTTATTTGTATATTTTACCCTATTATACTCAATAATATTTTCCACCACATTGTACACCCTGCGTTTTCTGCGCCACTTTTTGGTTTTCAACAATTTTGAACCAATTCTGTAAACGATTTCGGAAATGAGCAGGTCGACCATAGACGACCTCGTCCATACGACCGCCAGCCTGGTCGCAGCAATTCTGCGCACGGCCTGTCGCCATAGGCTAACCTGTTGCAACTTTCTCTGGTGATGTCCCTGGTTTTGCTTGGCTCGTGCACACTGCTTGGCCTGCAGCAACTCGCAACACGCTGGTGTCATGTTCTTCTCGCGAAGAATTTTGTTGATTGTGTCCCTCAGATTCGTATTGTAAGTAGGAGCGCTTAGTCTTTCCACCTAAAAGAATTAAATCAATAAGTGCGAGGATATCTGTTTTTAATCATAATTAGTGATAGATGGCATTATGCCTGAGGTAAATCGTTGAAATTTCCCATACCATAATTGAACATTCGAGGAATAAAAATAATATATAATCAATAAAAATTGATCAATGATTGATATCAAATATTTTAAATATTTTTAAACAATTATCTTATTTATAAAAATGGATCTCTCTTTCAAATGAATTAGTAAAACTCGAAAACGGCTAAACCGATTTGGCCAATCTTAGTCTTGAAAAATTTGTGCCAATCCAGAGATGGTCGGAAAGGTGAGATATTATTTCAAAATCGCGTAGAAACTTTACATTTTTAATTTGAAAATTTTTGTAGAAGCGCAAATTAAAGAAAACAATCGACGGTGGCTAATACGTCAAATGTCAAACGTTTTTAACGGATGATGTTCAATTACGTTTAATAGGATGTTTTACGTGAATATTATTTAATTATGATTAAATTGTACTAAGTAGATTTGTTTGTAATTTCATTTATATACAAAAACGTTAATAAACGGGTCGCAAGTGTTACTGGAGACTCAAAGTATCAACTTTTTTGAAATGTTAATATGAAAATGTATTTTTTTGGCGTTTGTAGCACTCTTTTTTTGAAAAACATATTTTTCTGAAACACGGTGCTCTGAAAGATCTCTTTCGTATAATTATATACTCATTGGTATTTATAAAATATTTTCTAGGTTATATTATTTTTTATTTATGTTATCAGAACCTAAATTCAGTATCGATCAAATGGACATTTTGTCGAATAACATTTTCCCAGTTATAATTTCCCAGAATTTATCGAAGAATAGATAGTAATATATGAAAGTCCGGGCTTAAAAAGGTCCACCACCGATGTGTCATAAATCAGTAAAGTTAAGCATTGTTTGACAACAATATTTGAAAGTAGAGGAAAAATGATGTATAACCAACTATAACCTTGATTTAAAAACGGTTATCTTTGAAATGGGGGAGATAAACGGTAATCTTTGAAAATCCATAATAAAAGTATTTTCATCCGTTGGTAGTTTTTTAGCATTAGTTAAAAATTTAATTGTTTTGTAAAATATCTTTTAAATTATAATAAGGCTTTAAACCTTTTTGCGACCTGCCCGTTTCAAGTTACCCCGCCTATAGGGTAAAAAGGTCTAGATAACACATTTTTGAAACACTACAAAAAAGCACATTTCTACAACGATGAAGTAGAAGGCAGTTTACTGAACGTAGGCAGATAATTGTTCGTTTGATATGTGTTATTTATTGTGATATAATTATGGTTTTCACAATATAGTTTATATTTGCTCAAAGTGAAATGGGACCTTTGCGCCACGGCCTGCTCTATATATATATACTTTTTATTAAATTTACTTTAATTCATCGAATGTTACTTGAAACTTTTCAAAACGCAGGTCAAAGAAGAAATACGTAATTCATTTTCTATCTCTCCTCGCAAAAATTTCAAAGTTTTGTATAAGCTCAGTAGTATTATTCACAATTATACACAAAATCCGGAATCCAAAAAGAATCTGAAAAACTTGAAACGTAATCAATTAGTCGAAAGACCAAATAAGACTTGGATGGATTATACTAAGTTTTCTGTAGAAAGTGCATAAATCTTCCAGTTTGATTGTATTAACAAAATATAGACAAACTAATGGGGTTTATTGTTTTTATAATACCTCATTGTATATAGCATTCAAACAACACATTCTTATACACTTAAAGTATTAATATTTTGATTCTCTAGAAATTTTTTAGAATATATCTTACTTAGCAAAACAACGTTTGCCGGGTCAGCTCGTTATGAATAGAAGTTAATTTCATTTTAGATGTCTTAAATCTAAAAGTGCTTATATTTGCGCTACGACGTTTATGTATGTTTACAAATACGTAACATAATAAACAAAACCATCCTACTTGGAATGCTTCCGACGACCTTCTCATATTTCTTATTTCTAGTAAACGTTCTCAAACTTATTTAAGTTATTATTATTTTTTCAGAATTCTTAGAAAAAGTTTTCAATATGAATCGAAAGCTTTTTGAACCATTCATATCAGATGATTTGTGCTCTCGAAAACGTGCACGGAAAATTGTACTCAAACATACACACAAACATAGAACGCACGCGCGCCGTATATACATACATCAATTTTTTCTAAGGTATCTCAAAACGTTCAGAAATCTCTGAAAAATACAAAAAAAAATCGACTTTTTTGCGATTACTATAACTTACCCTACGGAAATTAATAAAGTTAATTCCTAAATCAAGTAAAAGTTCTTCTTGTATATAAATTGCTCAATCCAAATTTTTAGAATTAAGCTAATTTTTGGTATTTCAAAACAAATCAAAATAATTTCTTAATTTTAAATTTCTATGATTGATCCAATAGCAATATGCCAATTTAATTTTATAAAATATGTAAATAAAGTTCTAAACGCCGTGTTCTACTTTAAATTAAACAGTTGAACAAAAGTCTATATTTGTTACATCTAGTCCACCAGTTTTTTGTATCACAGTTTACGTGTCTCACTATCTGTCTACTTCTCTTGTCTACCAGTTTACCTGTCAACCTGTTTGTCACTCCACCAATTTATCAATCTACCGGTATACCTCCACCGGTATACCTCCCACCAGTATACCTGCCAACCTGTTCATCTGTATACCAGTTTAGCTGTCCACCAATTTACCTGTTCAACAATTTACCATTTTACCGGCCTACCAAATTACTTGTCTATAATCCCCTTTCACATGCCTACCAATTTACCTGTCAACCAAGACAGAAAAATTGGGAAATATGTAAAATGTTTATCTAGTAGATAACGAGGTTTATCTACCTCGTTATTTGTCTATCTACCAGTTGTTCTGTCTACCATTTTACATATCTCCCAACTTTCTGCCCGTCAGTTTACCTGTCTAAGTATCTATCTATCTATTTACCAGTTCACCTGTTCACCAATATTCCTGTCAATCTGTTTATCAATTTACTGATTTAACTGTCAAACAATTTACATGTTCACAAATTGACCTGTCTCCCAACTAACCTGTTTAGCAATTTACCTATCATCCCGTTCTACATGTCTACCAATTATCCTTTCAACCTGCCTTCATATTTGTCTATCTACTAGTTGTCCTGACTGCCATTTTACATATCATCTGATTCACCTGTCCACCAGTTTACCTATCAACCAATATACATGTCTACCTATTTACCTGTTTATCTGTTTACCAATTTACCATTGGTACTTTATAAGTACCAATTTTACCTGTCAACCGAATTACTCGTTTGCCAATGTACCTGTCATCCCGATCTACGTGTCTCCAACTAACCTGTCAATCTGACAACCTGTTTATTTGTTTACATATTCTCCTATCTCCTAGTTCTCCTGTCTACCATTTTATAAATCCTCCAATTTACCTGTTTACCAGTTTATCTGTCTACCAATTTACCTGTGTAATTGTATCCATCTACTTGTTTAGATATTTTTCTGCTTTTCATATGTGCATTATAAAAAAAAATTAAATTGACCGAATAAAATGAGACTTACATTCATTCCGCCTGATTTTTTCGCTTTCCTCAACCTCCTTGCCTCTGCTTCAGCTGCCTCCTTAAGTTTATCTTCGCGTCGCTTCTGCCGACTTGAGGCCTTCTTTGTTGATGTCGCACCATCATCTCCAAACAAACCTCTTGCTTCAGCCATTTTTATCATATATTTGTGATCAAGTTTAGTAACTTCCTAAGGATGAAGAAAGTCGTCTAATTTATGATCTATTATCTTTATTTAAAGCAGATGCATACTTTAAATAAAGATACAAACAAATAAAGATAAAATTTGAAAGTTTGAAAAAAATGACAGAAAACAGTTTTAAAAGTATATATATCACTTCACTCAATAAGTCCGTAGAATAACTAAGAAAAACCTTTTTTTTTTTGCAAAATTATTTTTTTTTATTCAATATAGTTTTCTTCCAAGACAATATACCGATTATAGCAAACTTCGAACTTTTCGAAACCATTTTTATAGTACGATTTGTACTAAGCCACAAAATTCGACTAACATCTCATCATTTGCCAAAAATTACTTTAGAGCGAACTATATTTTGAGATCCGAGAACAGTATTTGGTCGCTGTGGAACAGATCTAGAGAATATAATGAGTGGCTAAGCAGTTCGGAGCCCAATTCAAGTTTTTTTTTGTCACTTTTTTATCCTGACACGGTTTTCTTTTTAAAATGACGTCGTTTTTTCGATTTTGATCTTCAAATGGTCTAAAAACGTTATACAATAGTTACTATTAATGGCCTGGCCTTTCTCAAGATTGTTGATTAAGATCATTCCTTGCGAATCCCAAAAAACTGATGCCATAAACTTGCCAGCAAATGGTTTGCATTTTTTCTCCTCATCGTGTCTAGTCCACTCGGCTGACTGTTTATTTGATAACGGAGAGTAGTGGTAAAGCCAGGTCACATCCATGGTAACATATTGATGCAAAAACTCAGAGTTATTTCGATTAAACAGCTCCAAATACTCATACGAAACATCAACTAGTAATGCTTTTTGTCAAATGTGAGTTTGCGCGGCATCCATTTAGCACAAAACTTTCTGCTATTTAAATATTCGTGTACGATATGTCCAACATGTTCTATTGATATCTTTAAAGTGTCACCTATCTCAGGCAATCTTGCTTTGCCGTTTTCCGAAACGTTTCCGTTGACTTTTTTGATATTTTCTGGTGTAACCACCTCAATTGGCCTTCCAGAGCGTTCAGCTTCGTCAATCAGCAGTGATTAAAATCAGCAAACCACTTTTCCACCATTTGCCCAGATTTGGCACCGTTCAGATAATACTTATCAAACTATACTTCGGCAGCAATGGTATTTTTACCCATCAAAATCAATGATAAATCAACCCAAGAAATTGTTTTGAATTCATGGTTTCGAAAAACTCGAAAGTAGCGCCCCTTGAACCTCTGTAACTTGTAAACTAATCGACGGATTGTCATGAAATTTTGACATATACCTTCTTAAAGTTGTTGCTTTCTACAAATCACATAGATGATCACATAGCTACATCATCTATGTGTTATCCTACGAACTTATTGAGTGACGTGATATGATCAAACAAAACAAAAAAGATAGGAATGTTATTCGTTATTTTATATTTTTTACATATAGACGTGGAAGATAATATTTCTGAAAAATAACTATTTTAAATAGATAAGAACAAAATATTCAAATTTAATATATAAGTGTAGGCAATCTCAGAAACTGCAAGTCTTCATATTCTTGTTTTAAATGCAGATCTCGGTATTTATATAAACAAGTATAAAATTCTCTTTTTTTCATTAAAAGTATAAGTTGTCTTTATGAAATAAAAATTATATTCATATAAATTAGAAATTCCTATCCATATTTAATATTATTAGAAATTTGCTCTTCATCTGTCTTGTCTGTAAGATTTTATTTAACAGAGGCACAAGATTTACAGATCGGTGAGATTCCATCGTCTATCTAATTCGAGTTTTAGGTTTTGTATGCTTCAATGTAACGGAACTATTAATAATTTTTACTTTAATTCTGAAACTTTTGTATTAAAAATATATACTGTAATTTGTCTTTTATTACTTTGCGCTGAAGATTTGCCAAAAAGCAACCGTGCTCCTTGAGTAACTGCTCACAGCTTAGTCCTTCGGGCATATCTGGTACTTCAGCTACATGAAAAACATCAGTCAGGGGAACCTAATTGATAATACAATAATAAATGAGAATAAACATCAATTTTCGTATTGGTTTCGTTATATATACCTGCACTTCTATACTTTTTGTTGCGTCTTCTACTTGAGGTCTTCTGCTCCAATGAGAATCATTCTTGTGGAGCTCTTGTTTTAGTTCTGTTTCATCTCTTTGGTGCGCAGGTAGTGGTGTTGTAGATGTAGGCGCAGGAGTATCCTTACCTAAACAATATTTTTTATCAATGACAATTGATGCACGAATAAATTGCCAATTATTGCAGATTCAATATATATGATAATTTTTTTTTTATTAAAATCTACCCGATGGAGGAAACTCTTTATCAGGACCACCGTCAGTGTTTTTCTGAACTAACTCTAAATGTCTATTTCGGGCATCGCAATTCATCTCTTCCACGACACGTTCTACCATATGATCATTTTCGGTTTTCAAAGCAGAATGAGTTTCGTATAAAACAAATTGAATCTGTAACAGAAAAAGTGAACTAGTACTCAACTAAAAATCAATCCCGATATTATCTAGTAGCTAATATGATATCAAAAAATTCGATATTTCTTATGGATAATATGATATTAATATTTTACTACTTAGAAAACTAATTATGAATCAAAACTGATGATCATTTTGAAAATATATAAAAAGGTGTGCATGTGTGTGTGTAAGTGCGGATACAAATTTTCATCGACGATTTCGCGAACACGACTCAACCGATTTGAATAATTCGATTCCTACTGATAAGGAGACGTGCTGATTAGTTTTTGGCAAAGGCAGGTCTAGCTGTTTCGGAGATACGGGGCAAGAAGTGCTAAAAATGGTATTTCTGTTTTTGAGATAACGGGCGTCCGATTTAGATAATTCAAAAAACATTTTACTTGTATTGACGAAATAAACATGTGGTGAAATTTTTGTAAAGGCAGTTCTAGAGTCTCTGAAGATCCAATAAGAAAAGTAAAAAATAATGCCATTTGGCGGTCAAAAATGAACATTAGACATATGTATATCGTAATATCAGATTATTTATAATGATTATAAAAATGAGTACAAATTTTGTGTACATTTATATGGGTTCCGTACTAATGTTTACACGTTACACGACTACGCGGTGCTTGCGCACTTTAATATTTCGACTCCAAACCAGCTATGCAGCGCGATTGCTTAGAAAAAAATTCAAAATTTAAAAAAAAAAATCTTTTTTTTTTCAAAAATTTCAAAACTTCTCAAAAATCTAATTTTTTCTAAGTTTTGCAAAGTTATTTTTTAAAAAATTAGTTTTCGGTACGGAAAGTTCCAGCAATTTGCCTTAAGGCACAATGCCATGCACCACTAGTTTAACATTAAATAGGTTTCCAAAGAAAACAAGAAAGTTTACCTGAGGTCTAGACATTGCAAACTTCAAAGTGTTCCGCTGTTCGCGAAGAATTTCTGAAACTCGTCCGCGGCCTTTTTCGTTTATATCGGCTTCCGTCAATGCTTGTAGAACGCTCAGGTCTCCACCTCGGCTGCAAGCTAATATGATAACAAATTAAATTGATTAATTAATAATTTAATATTTAGGATAAATAAAGTAGAATCGGCGTTTGTATTTGACGAGATCTGAGCTTTTGTGCATTGAGGCCTCTATAACTATCCTACATGAGATGGGGACTGACTAAGCTCAAAGTGGCGGATACAGCTACTACGCACGTGATAAAGGTACCTTTTTCGCCTTTTTCAAATCAATTTGACGACGACTGCCTACATGAGATGGGGACTGACTAAACTCAAAGTGGCGGACACAGCTACTACGCACGTGATAAAGGTACCTTTTTCGTTTTTTTTTTAAATCAATTTGACGACGACTGCCGCTTTGAAAATATGAAGAAAGCACTTATAGGCAGCTGATAATAAAAGTAGTTTCATTGTTATGATTAATAAATACAGCTTCATCATAATAAACCATTAGTTTTATTAATCAATTATCCAAAAATTACGCCAAAGTTCCAAATATCTCCCAAAAAATCATCTTCAAACTTTGTTATTAATCAATTAAAAATTAATAATAATAATTGCACAATATACTACCTAAATCTACGGGGTCTTTCACTCCAGAATATGAATTGGGTGGGCAGGCGAATACAGCTACGACGTGCTCCAAATATTCTGCTTCAGGCGAAGTATCTACTAGTCTTTGCGGATATATAGTGGTATTTGTTATTCCTAAATCGCTGAAATATTTATCGTATTCTTGCTTTCTGAAAATCAATAGTTCAATAATTGATACGTATAAACTAGTGGTGCATGGCATCGTGGCTTAAGACAAATTGCTGGAACTTCATCTATCATAACTTAAAAGCCGTTAAATTTTGATGAAATAGACTTCGTTTTTTTTTTAATTTATATTAAAAATCGGCTTTCTTAAAAATTTTGAAACTTTGCAATTTTTGAACAAATTACTTCTTGAAAATTTTGATATATTTTGAACTTTTTGTTTTTAGAAATGTTGAGAATTTTTTTGAAACTACATAGAGCGTAACTTAGTCAACTTTTATATTTAAAAAATGTATCCTTTCACGATCTAGTTGTAACAAAATTGAAATTTAACAAAAAAGATAATTAGTTTATTTAGTTTTTGCATTTTATCTTAATTCAAAATACTTTAAGGGGAACAACTAGTGTAACCGCCTAAAAAAAGATGATTTTTGGGAATTTATATTAAAAAAATTACTTCATCAATCATTTAAAAATTTTAGAAATATATTTATACATGCTTTAAGAATACATAGTAAAATTTTTGAAGAAAAAAATTAAATATTTTTTAAGTTATCGTCGATCTCCAACGGCGCGACAAAAAAATGGCCCTTAACTGCTGCAGTAATTCCGGCCTCTACGTGGATGAAATAAAAAAAATAATTCTCGTTAAACTAGATAATATTGTCTATAAAATGAACTACGATATAAAAAATAAATCAAAAATTGACAAAATGGCGGCGTTTTTTTTTAAAAAAAAGGCGAATTTTACCCAAAATTTTGGTCGTTTTTCGACTGCCCAATTTCGATTTTTGATCCGATCACATAATCGATAGTTCATTTTACGGAGAACTATATACAAAACAGGTGAAAAAAAATTGATAGTGATCGGATCATTCGTTTTTGAGTAATCACTGCAGCAAATTCGGAAAATGCTGTTTCGAGAAAAACGCGTTTAAGATAAAATGATCGTTGTACTATATACTATATTTATACTTTTTAAATGGCTGTAACTCAAAGACTATTTGAGATATCGATTTGAAATTTTAATATGTTATTTTTAAAGGTGTAATCTACCGAAATATGAAAAAAAAAACAAAAATCGATTTTTTCAAAATTTCACACTAGTTGTGCTCCTAAATATTCTTATAAAAATTATATCGTAAATGTATGCACAATTATTATTTTGTTGAATTTATCTGTGAAAAATAAATGCTTTATGCTGTTTCTACATTTTATAAATATTATCAAATAAAGTCAATTACTTATCCCCAGCTCCAAATGCAAGCAGCCTCAGCACTCTGTTATTACTGTGAATGATATTAGCTAAATAAGCAGTTGTCCTAGGTGAATTCACATGAGATTGTAAAACACATCCACCTAATTCGTGATGTTCTAATATTAAGCTGAATATCTGAAAATGAAAAGTTTGAGTTGATTTTATATTTAGTAATAATTTATAATATTGTAAGTAATTTTATAGTACGAGAGCAATCATACGACTTTAACTATAAAAATAGAGATCTAAAATTATCTATCTTAATGACTCACCACTGGTCCAATACAAAATGCTCTATCCTGCAAGATGAGATGATGCTTCTTCACCAACCAAGACTGCGCAACAGCTTGTCTTTGCTTAAATATTAAATTTTACATATTAAAATAATTAGCAAACATGAAGACTGTAATTATTTATCGATTTATGCACCTTTGGTCGGCATACCATGAATTTAGGGCATAAAGTATCAAATTTATACTGATCTACATTCAATCCACGATCATGTCCGGTGCATTCGCTAAGTCCTAATTTGCATAAGCATTCAGTAACATCGGATTTGGATCTAAAAATAATTTTTGGTTATATTACTTACAAGCTACTTTGAAAGAGATCAGTTAAAAACCACAAAATTATTATTGTGTAAAGATTGGTCGTAATTAACAGAATTAGAGATAGCTTTGATTTGCAATTTAAAGCCAGATTTGCAAGATTTGTGCAAAAGCAAGATAAACCGCATGTTCCTACTTACTAGCCAGATTTATTTTTGCTTCAGTCTGAAAATTTGAAAATAAATTAGTTATTGTAGTCCTTAGTGTTGCATGGAAATTGCTCGACCAACTTTTATTGTTTAAGAGACGAAAATCCTAAAAATCCGAAATTTGGCAATGTTGGAAATTTATCGAATTTAAAAATTGGATAGACCTCAATTCTTATCAATCTTGGATTGGATCAAATCCAAAAAAATGCTTGGACCTAAAGTTATTTTCTATTAGTATATCCATAGTATCTTTTTTCAAATAATTATGAATAATATATTCAAGTAATGCACTTGAATAAAAGCATAACAAATAGGACATTTAAAATCGATTTAAACATAAAACGAGTTAATCTAGGTGTACGTTATTTGTATATTACTTCTGAACAAACTTGTTTCATATTCATGTCAATTAATCCAATAGTTTAATATAGATAAAAGATATAAAAAATTATTACAGTTATTCGCGCCCAAACTATTATTTATACGCAATTGTAATTTTAAAGAGCATTAAGCCAATATTATTGAATTTTGTACAATTTTATATACTACATTTATATGACATAAATTGAATAAACGATGTAAGAGGGATATATACGAAAAAAATAGTAGTTATCTATAAATTGCTGCAAATATTACAATTAGGTAGATATATACAAAAACAAAATTGGTTTTCAAATAATTTTTTTAAAGGTCTAACCGGTTTCAAATTTTGTAAGTAAGAACTATTGGATCAAATAATTCAAATATAAAAATAACAGAAAATTTCGAGAAAATTAGTGAAACGAACGCCGGCTATTGATTTGTTTAAAGAGGTACATTTGTAATTATCAATTTTTGTTAACTGTTATTCAAATAACATCTAACAAATGTTTTCATACATTGAAAACCAGTATTTACTACTAAAAAAACGGTTTTCAAATTTCTTAATTTTCTCCTAAAACCTGTTTCTAAAAAGTGTCAAACCCTAATCAGAATTTGTGAAGTTTTTTGATACATGTCGGTAGAATATAACTGTAAGTTGAATTAATACATATTACTACGTATATTATTCTGCATAATTTAATTTTGTATATTTGTAATTTTATTTTTATCCTTTTTAGCATTTTTATGTGGGGTGCACATCGCGCCTTAAGACAAATTGCTGGAACTTCTCGTACTGTACATAAAATACACAAAATGTGTACACAATACGCATTATTAAAATCTCTATAAAATATCTGATAATTTGATGTATCATACATATGTCCAATAAACATTTTTGACCGCCAATTTTTTATAATTATTTATATTTATATTTTTATTAATAATTATTTTATAATTATTTTTATTAATAATTATTTTATATTTTTATTAATAATTATTTTATTGAAAGTCCATAAACGCTGGGCCTGCCGTCCCAAAAATTTAATCAGTTGTTCATCTTGTCAATACAAGTAAAATGTTTGAATTATTAAAATCGGACGCTCCGTTCTCTTAAAAGCTGAGTTACCGTTATTGGCACTTTTTGCCCCGTATCTTCGAAACGGTTAGACCTGCCTTCCGAAATCGTCGACGAAAATTTGTATCCGCACACTCACACGTTTGAAGCATTTTTTATTACAAGATTTAGTTTAAAGCGCCTCAATGCAATGTTCCAAATAAAAACATTTGATAATAGATTTTTTTATTTGTTAAAAATACTGTCCTTACTTTGATTTAAAACAGTTAACCCAGCATGTGACTTTATCGGTGTTGTTGATTGCAGAGGTGACTCGTTCGTCTCGTAGATGTGGCGGCAAAAGCTGAGACAAATGCAGAGAGTTGTTTTTAATACGAATTCGTGAAGTTTCGGCGGCCAATTTTATCCTTTCTGTCCAAAGCGCTTCATCTATGGCTAAAATATAATCTACAATTGTCATATAAATTCACAAAAAACAGCATAGCTACAAAATAAATATTTTAAATTTCGCTAAAAGAGAGTAAACCTGGTGTCTAAACATATCAAGCCTTCTTAATACACCTCACTGCTAACCTGATGTTGCTTACACTAAACTGTGCTAAACTTTTTTATTCGTTTAATACAAAATTTAACCATGTTAGGTGAAAATACATACTAAAATAGGATGATAAAGACGATTCTTGTTTGAAATAATTAAAGTACAAAATTTCAATTTGGGCATTTTATTTTAGTAAAAACGCTACTCTAATCGGCATGTGGTTATTGACAACACCTTCACGCAACATGTGCGTGCGCAGTAGTGAATATGTTAATTGCATCGGAGAGTCGCATATTTTTCGCAATTATAATAAACGTTCCCGGTCCTCCGAGGAACCGTCCAACCCTTTCGCTGCGAGCGTCGTCTATAGACGACATCCAATGTATCAACCCTTGTTTCAAATTGAGTCAAATCTGAGTTCAATTATTGAGAATAATAATTTGTTATTGTAATTTTTGTTTCTGTAGATGTGTATTTTTATAATTTTTGAAATACATTTTCATAGATAACGATTGGAAATTTTTAAAATATGTTGTTGTACTTGGTCTATTCGTTAAACCAGAGATTATTTTTGCTATTCTAGATATTATTAATAATTCGGGTATCAAGAATCGACTGAAGTGAGAATCAAAAAGTACAAGCCTTTACACATTATAGAATACATAAGAAGGAAATTGTTTTGTCTGCCTACTAAAGTGAGAGTTTTCTTATATTCCTGAATAGTTAAACTTGTTAAATTGATTTTCAAGTCGGAAATCGAATAGGGCACATAAAGTGAGAGTGTCTGTTTCTTATTTGAATCAGATTTTTTTAATGTTTATTATACTCTTCATTGCTATTCAATTAT